TCCAGAGTTTCAGATGTTGAGGATAGAGAACAGAAGGGTGATTGGCACATTTATATTTGAGGCATTGTTGTGTAGGTTTGGGGTGTGTCCAGAGTTGGTGACAGATAACAGGACACTGTTTGTAGTAGTACTAGACTATCTGTAGGATAGATATCACATCAATCACATACAGATATCAGCTTACAACTTGAGGGCAAATAGTGTAATAGAGAGGTAGCATTATAATGTACAAGAGGCACTAATGAAGGCAGCAGAAGGGAATGAGAAGAAGTGGCACAAACATGCACATACAGTATTCTGGGCCAAGCAGATTACAATCAGTAAGGCAACAGGGTAGTCTCCATATTATATGGTACATAGGACAGAGCTGCTACTTCTGTTCAATCTCAGTGAGGCAACATACTTAGCTGGACTATTAGGGACACTGATGACTATAGAGGAATTGATTAGAGTGTAAGGGAGGCAGTTAGAGAAGAGGGAGGCAGATTTGGAGGAATTGGCAGATAAGGTTAGAAAGGCAAGGAAGGTGTATATGAGGTACTATGAGGAGATGCACAAGAACACAATAAAGGATTTCAACTTTGAGCCAGGACAATTGGTGTTGTTGTAGAATACAAGGGTGAAGATGGATTTGAGGAGGAAAACAAAGCCAAGGTATTTGGGTCTGTACATAGTGTGTAGGAGAACAGAAGGAGGGTTGTATGTGATTGTAGAGTTGGATGGAATAGTAGTAAGGTATAAGGTGACAGTGTTTTGACTGGTTCCTTATTTCACTCAGAGGGAGATTGGGATTTCAGTGGAGGAGTTGGTAGGAGGGGACATAGGCAAGGTGATAGAAGAGAGGGAGGAGGATAAGGAGGGAGAGCAGGACAAAGAAGGGGAGGATTGAGACAATTCTGACTAATCTGATACACAATCTGCTGAATCCATTGTATAACTGCAAGGACAACAGTAGGGGCACAGCCCTCAATAGGGACTGTGCTGAGCACACATTATACCTGGTATTTTCTCATTTCTTTACATATTGTGTTAATTGATACCTGGGAGGACAATTCATGCCTCTGTATTAATCATTTTCCATTCTTTTGTTCATGTTTGTTCCTTCCACTCGTTCACATTTTGTTTCCCCTTGAAAACCCAGAAAACCATCATATAATACTGTATAACAACAAAACAATCACATAAACACTATAAAAACTGTCAAAATCCAAAAACAATGTCTATAGATAGAATTGCTCCTTCATTTCTAAATTCTTACCTTCATCCATCCACCTTTGAAAACCAACATACAAAACCTCCAAAACCATCATATAAAACTAAAACACTCCTTATAGATAATATCCTTTTCCATTCCTTACAATCTGTTCCTTTTAGTTTTATTCTCTCATTTAGCTTGTTACTGATCCTATCCACACTCATTAAAATACCCCTTTATTTGCTTTCAAACTACTCTGATTATAAATATTCTATTTACATTCTCTTTCCTTTCCTTTCCCCTTTCCTTTTCCTTTATCCTTCCTTTCCTAACAAGAACAAGACAGACCAGGTTGAGGGTCTTCTTCAGACAGTACACAAGGGAGTTAGGGCTGGTGAGTTTGAAGGGTAGTAACTTGATCTTGTGCCTTGTGTAGTAGGCAGGTCACTTCTGTGAGTTTGTCACTCTACTCCTAAGGTCCTGCTGAAAGGAGGGGTGTAGAACAACTCAGGCCAGTAAGAGCAGGTACTGGCAGGATTCTTGGCAGTAGAGGGGCCTGACAGGCCTGTAGCCACTCTATAAACAGCTGATACACTGTTTGAGTTCCTGTTACACAGTTGCAGCTCTTCTTTGCCTGTTAGCAATTTAGGCACACTCTAGCCAGGTTACCTTTGTAGAGAAGGCTGCACTGTACACACTGCTTGTACAGCTCCTGTGGCTCCTTGTAATCACTAGGCTCTGGTTGCAAAGAGGGACTATGAGACTATAGGTGGCAACATTGACTAGGGGCCAGGATAGTGATAGTGAGGCAAGGTTGAGTGGGTTGAGCAGGTTGAGGAGGAACAGGAGGCTGACAGGGATAGGATGGACCAGCTACAGGAGGGACAGAGGGTGCTACAGAGACAGTAGACCTGATACAGGTCTATGAGTGTAGGGAGACCTGTAGAGGTGCCTGAACATTTGGTGAGGGAGGAACCAGTAGTCTGACATATGTAGGAGGAGGGGAGTATTCAGGGGGAGCCTGTCTGTAGGTACAAACTATCTGCCAGTAAACAGACAGAGGCTGGTTGTATGGGAACAGCTCAGTAGACTCATCCTCTAATGGCACCATGATAGAATCTGGTACAGTAGAAGGTAATACAGATCTAGACAGTAGGAACAATAGAACTGATTGTGTACAATTCATTACACACAAGGATGAGGGGACTGGTTTGTTTGAAACTGTCAAGGAACCTGTTATATCCAACAAATCCATGCCAGAACTTAATGGCAGAGGTCCACCAGGCAAAGCAGGCAAAGGTACTATAGAGGTAGCACCTTCCTCTTCATCTGAGGACTCCACTACTCAGTGGCAGCAGACTCCTTGTGTGTGACCCAAGGCAGTAAGCTGTGCTTGTACTACCTGCTACTCCTCTAGGGCTGTATCAACCATCTGTGGCCAAGCTGCACAATCTCAAGCCTTGACCTCCTCAGCAAGTACTATCTCCTGCTCCAACATTGTAGGTACCCTTGATCTGGAAGCTTGCAGTTACTGTTCAATAGCTTCATTAAGGTCTTCTGACTGTCTATGTTACTGTTTTGTGTGTTGACTTGGTCCTACAGTAGATGACAACCCTGGTTGATTAGTACCACCTAATGGATCAGGTATCCATTGTCTTGCACTGTATAGATCTTGGGCTGTGGGGGCTTGGTACCTCCAGTGTTGATCACAGCAGAGCACATTCAGACTTTCATTCATCCAGCCAAAGTGGACCTGGAGGCCATATTCTGTTGGAATGCTGAATTGGGCATCCCTACTAGTTCCCTGTAGAGTCTACCACTCAATCTATCAGGCTGGTCAGCTTCACCCAGATACAACTCAGCTACTATGTACCTCTAAAGCAGACACCTGTGTCTGCACTTCCCTATATTCCTCCTTTGTCTCTATCTCATTTATCCTTGCATCTACCTTGTCTACACTCCTCTTCAAGGCAGTCCATCAGTTCTGTAGTTGCTGGTGCATCTGTGTGCAGAAGCTTGGAAGGATAGTGTAGCTGGACATTTTGCAAATACGTGGAGGTGATAGGACAAGTGAAGAGGGAGTAGTGGTAGTTAGCAACAGAGGGAGTATGGATGCTGGGTGTTGGATATGGATAAATTGGGCAATGGAGAGGTTGGATGGAAGGCAGTAAAGGAGTTTGCATGACTGGGGACAGTCACAATTTAACACCCAAGGAGGTGAAGAGATACCCATGGACCTATCAACAGAATCGACAGGATTCCAGAAGCTTGCCACATTCAATAGCAAGCTCACACAGTTGAGGGAACACATTCTGACTTAGGCAAATATCTGCTGAGTGGAATCCTGGACAATCCAACACAATCTGATAATTCTGCTGAGGGTCTGATAATACCACTTCATGCTCAGCACTCTCTGGACAGTGTTTAACACTTTGGAGTTGCATCAGTAGATAGTAACATTCTATCAATGTGCTAGCATCTTTTCTATTGTATTTAGTAATGACCTTGTACTGTAGGTACAGGGGACCCCCCTGCATTCGTTTTCTCCAATTTTCCAGTCAGTGCGAGTGAAATTGAGTGCAGTACAAGTAATCCAACATAATCTGCATAATCCAACAAACTATCCGCCACATTCCAGTCTCACAATCAGTCGAGAGTCTGTGTGCCAGGGTAGTGTTTTATCAGCCAATGCTAGATTTTCTTCTTATCCCCCTCAAACACACTATTCACTGATAAATGTTTGTGTCCTAACAATTAGGTTACTTACAACTATAGTACAAGTACTAACTATGTTTTTGATTAAGAGGAGCTTAAGGAGATTGTAGCTTTCTCTAGGACTATCTATAACAATTCTCTCAACCCTACTATACAACTCTTAGAGTGTTATCTTATTGTATTACACTTGTATAACTTCTACATTCCTTCTTATACAAGACTAAGCCTACTACTACTATTCTAAGACTATGTTCAATATGCTAAAATGATACAAGTGTTCTAGGACTTTGTATACTATAAGAACATAGTTTTGAACTAAAGTAAATGTGTATATATTCTACATTATATTATTACAAGTACATGTACCTTACTATTTTACTTAGGTGTAAAGTGTAGAGCTGAGCAAATCAATAATGGAACTACTATATTCTACTCATACAACTATAAACATTCTCAGATTGAGTTGTAATTACTCTCAACATCTACTGATCTTACTTTAGTACTTAATATGAGTACTCTAAACTTATTCAACACTCAAGACATTACTCTACTACTGAATCTACTACTTTCTACTTAATCTGATAGTCATTCTAACTAATCTACTATGAGTTCTACTAGTTTTACTATAGAACATGTTTAAGCTAGACAGGAACACATCCAGTCTACTATAGGACTAATTAAAGACACATTCATGACTGTAGAGAATGTCCTAGTACAGTAGTACTGAACTTTGTAGTAAGTTACTAACATTTTCATTTGTTTTCTTATTATTATTTTGTTTATTCTAATACTAACTCTCTTAGCATTTAGGACTAAATACTAGAGGGTGAGTGTAACAATTGTACTACCTGTGTATTTGTACAACATGTGTTGTAAGTGCTTGTGAGTGTTTTCCTTTTTGTTCACTAGACTACCCTATATCCTACTACACATGTATATGTATATATAAAGGGTTTTCAAGCTAAGGGTTAGGGGATTCTTTCTCCTTCTCAGTACTCAATTACTAGGTTATCCTAGTCAGTAGTTGAGTGTGCTGGTAAAGAGAGAATCTTTACATAAGGCTAGTATACCTATCCTTACAAAGACATACCTAATCTTTGTCAAATGACAACCAATTACATAGAATGTCTAAATTGGTGGTTTTCATGAAATCCAGAGCCTTGTCAAGTTTGATGCGTTTCTTTGCCGATCGTTAGTATAGTATAATACACTCTGTAATAGAGTGATCACTCACAGCACTTTTATTAGTAGGGCCTTTATTGTTTGCCGGTTGTATAATTTTCTTGTACTAACAAACGCAGTGAGCAAAAAAAAGCATCAGCAACAATATTTGGTTACTCACGGTTTTCATGCCTGATGAACTGTACTGGAGGGAGTAGGAATCACCGTGAACTGCAATTTTGGATTTTACAGCCAGCGGGTACAGCTCTAAAGGGATGCTTGACGAGAGCCTTAGCTTGTATATCTCCTTGAGGAAGAGCCTTTGTATGAAGTCATGCAGATGAAACTCGAGCGGCTCGCCGTGTCCTGTATGTACGACATTATACCATGGTACCTTGAGATACTTGTAGATGACATGGAGCATGCCGTAAAATTGCGCTTCAAACACATTCGAAGGTAAATGACGTGGGAATGGCTCGGTATTCCCTTCTCCTGCGGTCTTTTTCGCCAGTTGCTCAAATACCTTGCCCCTGTCAATCTGCCTCTCGTACAGATCAGTGTCCGATATTTCCTCTCCCTCGCGCACCATACGAGAAAAGAACAGGAGAGAGAGATAAAAGACGGACTCGGCATCATGCATAGCACCATGCCGGAAGAGTTCCTCAGGATTCTTTTTCGTGACGTAGTTGATGTGATCTACACCACGGTAGAAGCTATCCCATTTAGCTTCTTCCCCATTGCGGTATCGCTTACCACTGTTGGCTGCGGCTGTCCGAATCACGTCCACATCTTCCTCGTCAAACGGCACTGCGTGCATGGCATCCTTCGAACGGGGAGCCAGAACGTCATTTGCCATAAACATCGGTGTACCCTACACCAAAGAATATAAATAAGCAGCATCCGTGCAGGACAAAATCTTACTGTAGCATGTTTCAAGTCATCAGTCTCCGTCGTCAAATCTCTTGCATTATCGAAATCTGCCAGTGCAACTCGAACCCTTCGTCTGAGCGGGAACTAAGTGATGTACAGGCAAGCGATGGTACAGCAACGTACGGTTTGCTTTCTTGAAGAACACTACCTCCAGTCACATCATCCTCAGTATCATAATAATCCGATATAAATTGATAAGTGTCCCAATTTGCTTCTTTCTTTGGAATTTGAGCTATATCCTTCTCTGGAACGAGGACGTTTCCCCAGCTGATATCCCTATGCAAAATATGCGCCTCGCAAACGTGATAACGAAGCACTGGACAAGGCTTAAGCATATGAATATGCGGGATATATCATAATTTACCTTCGAGAAGATCGTACATAGTTTCGAGGAACTCCAGAACGGATTTGCAAGATGACACAGATCGTCCTATCGTTTCCTGTACTACAAGATGTTGGTTTCGACCACTCTCCGCGTCGTATTGAACGGAATCACTGGACAGCTGCTCGTCAATGCGCACAACACCTGGTGCATCTTTCAACTTTTCTAGGAAATACCGTTCCCTTGAATGATTGTCGTCCAGATGCCAAGACCACTTGGCTACACGATGAAGCTGGAAGTCATCTGCTGCGAAGGCCAATGTGACAAAAGGCTTGCGCCCGTTACCTCTCCCAATAAATATCGGAATGAGATAGAACAGTTTCCCACCCAAATAAGTGGTGTGTAACGCGACAGGCCTGCTCTTCCCGTTGTCCAATGTAATTAGAAACTCCGGAACAGGAACACGCTCATTTCGGATTGTTGAAGCTTCAACCCAAATGAGTCTGATGGACTCGTAAAGTTTTAGGATTGGAGTCTGATCACTCTTCTTCCAATATACTGGATCCCAGATACCACAGCTGTCCAAGGCGAGAGAAATGAGCTGAAACCGCTTCGTGTTGATTATAAGCCCATATTGTAGGGATGATCCATGTCTATGCCGAGCAAGTGCGTAACAGTAACGTTGTCCTTGCAGTAGTGGATTCTCTTTGACTTTACACTCGACGGCCGCAATGATCTCGTGGGCAGAGGGGACTTCTATCTTGTAGTTTTCCTCACTGACCCACCCTTCCGCGTCCTTGCGTTTGACGAAAAAGCCTACTAAGTCCGGTTTGACGAAAAAGCCTACTAAGTCCGGTTTGTCTCTTGATCCGTCCGTTACCTTCAGCTGCACATTATGGTGCGGCACAAAGGCAATGACCCTGTCGCCTTGGCAGACATCAAGACTAATAAGGGTCAAAGCCTTCGCAAGTGGTCCATACATTGGTACTTCCGTTCCTTTCTTCGCTCCATCTATGGATTCACGAATCAACTGTTCCACATGGTTAAGACTGGTTGTACTTCTGGTGTAGTCGGGTAATGTGTATTCCTTCTTCGCACCGCTGTAGACACCAATAAACACCCCAAAACCGGGGGCAAAATCTGGGTATATTGCTTGCGAATCTTTCCCCGGTCGAAACGTGGAGGATGAGGTCGTCATGGTCGTTTGTGGCTTGTAAAAGGGTCAGGACAAAGGAAAGAGATCAATGTAATAGCAAGTACTAATGCCCAAAACATAGGAGAGTTGTAGGGTGGTAATGGGTAGTCTTAATCTGATGTCAGCAACAGTATAGAGGGGACCTGAAGGCTCAGTAAGGGGACCCAGGCTACAACTATTCTACACAACAGAAATACAGAATGCAAGCACTAGAACATAGTCAGAACTCACAGAACAGGCAGAGAGAGAGAGTGAGACAAGAGTAGAGTATATAGAGTGAGCCTAAGAGTACAGGACTACCTAGAGTAGACAAGATCAAGACTACAGGACCAGTCTGATCTTGTATGCCTATATATACTAAACTACACAAGAGTACTCAGAGAGTATGAGCTACTAAGAATGATAAGCTACAAAGAATGAAAGAAAGGAATGTCAAAGATAAAGGTACAAAGAATGAAGGGATGGACAAAGGGTAAGAGACTATAGAATGATACAAAGAATGAAGGGGTGGTCAAAGGAATGGAATGATGAAGTAAGGAAGGGTGGTAGCAAGAGTCAGCATGCATATAGTCTATAGACAGTGCCCCTAAGGGACAGAAGTCCTGAGTTCTAGTACAGAAGGGTGTAGAACCCTCAGAACTGAAGGTACAAGAGTAGAGAACCATAACAGGATAGTGGACTCAGCTCACTCTCTTACAGCTTGCTTCATTGTCTATTAATTAGTTAGTCTATATATACTATGTAGGTATGTCTCAGATGTAGAATGTATGATGAAAGGTATTCCATCATTGTTTGTCATTGCTTGTAATGTAGTTTATATCATCTGAGACATACTCTTGTGTAGTCTTGTCTTAACACTGTATCAAGGTTGTCTTGTAAGTTGTAACAATTACTGAATCTTATCCTAAATCCAAATCCAAGATCATGTCAGGCATTTCACAATTTCTTGCTGTGAAAAATAACTTACATAATGTTAAACATTATTTGTAATTAAATTTACCATTTTTGATTGATAGAAATCATGAACAAAATTTCAAGTTTCTTCCATAATCAATACAAATACAGAAAAAACTTAAAATATTATTTTGAATTTCTACTAAACTGAAATGGTAAATTAAATTACAAATAATGTCTAACATTATGTAAGTTATTTTTTAAGGCAAGAAATTGTGAAATGCCCGATGTGGATAGGCAAATCTGGTTTGATCACGTGATAATTATAATGACTCAGCTGATCATCACAATTCTTGTCATATTGGCGAAGCACAACTACTTTACTTTTTTAAATTTTAAACTTTCTAAACCCTTTTAAACTTTTGCCACCCTTCTTCTATTCATTACCCCTTTTAGTTTAGTATTGATCCCTTTGTAGTGTAGACATAGACCCTACTACACTAACTGCCACTCCTACTGTCCCACCAGATCAGTAGTTACAAGCAGAACTAGCTCAATACATACAGACCTCTATCTAAGAGGCCTTTACTAACCATGTGCCCCCAGCCCCTTTGGAACCCATTCTGATTGTTCTGGAAGTTGCAACCTGTTCTAGAAAGAAAGTGCATGTAGCCTGCCCTTCAGACTTTAATAGGCAGCACTTTAAGGACTTCCAGCACTAAGTCAAACTATATATAGCTACTACTTTAACTGATCTATCCTCAGATCTTAATTGTGTCCTCCCTGGTTCTGTGTATCTGTTCTGTAAAGTCTGTTACAGATTCAGAACTACTATTCTGGTTCAGAACTGTCCCCTAGTACAGATGTCTCCTATGATTGAGGAAGAACAGGGACTGTCCTGTTACAGAGTGTTGTTAGTTATTGTGTACAAATTCTGCTAGAGCTAGCCATTCAGACCAATCCAATTACTAATGATTGATAAACATCTAGAGGTAGAGCTTGATCTCCTGATTGACTCACTCAGTTTGACTGTCAGTCTACAGGTGATAAGTAGTGGAAGGGTTCCCTTGAATTCTAAGAAGTACATACAAGTCCTGTATGAATTTTGACTCAAATTGTAGTCTACAATCATGAATGAGCTTCTGAGGGAGTCTGTGTAACTGGAAGACATGATCCTGATAAATACACACTATACTTTCAGAAGTGAGTTCTGTTTGAGTCAGAACTGTGTGGACTTGCTTGGAGAATTGGTTGACAATCATACAGATAGTGTTGTAACCCTGAGACTCAGGTAGCTTACTAATCAGGTCCACCAAGACTTCTTCCTAAGAGTGATCCAGGATCCAATACAGATGTAGGGGAGCCTGAACCCTTGTCTGGTGGGCTTTAGTTTGTTGACACATATTGTAACCAGTCACATACTTCAGGATTTCCCTCTACATTCCAGGCCACTAGTAGTTCTAAGTAATAAGTTCCTGTGTTTTGTGTCAGCTCAGATGTCCTACAGTCAGATTGTTGTGATAAGCTTGGACAATGTCCTCCTACAGTTTCTGATCCTTCAGAATGTACAGTTGGCCTTCCTAGTAAACCTATCCATCCTCATCCTTCTCCTAATCCCTAGCCTGCTTCTCCAGTTGCTTTACTACAACCTGGTCCTGTGTGTGTCTCAGAGCTTACTGTATGTAGGTGACAAAGTCAACATCCTTGGATTTGAGTCAGATCTCTCAGATTGTCTTGGACACAAAACAGGAATTGTCTAGGAGAACAAGATTTTTGTTATCATTCTCCCCCCTTTCATAACCTGCTTGTCTTGAGAGTAAATCAGCTTTTGTCATTTGTGTTCTGAGTTTGTGGGTTAGCACAAAGTCAAAGTCCTACAGTTCTAACATTCAGTAGGCTTAGCAGTGGTTGAGCTTCTAGGGTGTGTGGAAGTACTAGAGATTAAGGTGATCACTCCAAATCTTAAACTTCTGTAGAGTACTAAGGAGATATTGACACTACTCTTCTAGGGAACAGACAATTGCAAGGAGTTCCTTATCATAGATAGGGTAGTTCCATTCTGTTACAGAGAGGGATTCCAATCAGAATACTATCAGACACTACTTTCTATCAATGAACTGGGACAGTACTACTCTATTTGTAAAGTTGGAAGAATCAGCTTTGACTCAGAACTTGTTCACAACTGTCAGAACTGCTAATACAGGCTTGCTAGTAATGGCCTGCTTGAGGGACTCAAACACAGACTACTACTGATCATCCTATTGCTAAGGAACATCCTTACTAGTGAGATTGTGAAGGGGCCAGACAATAGTACTAAAGTCTTGAATGAAGTATTAGTAGTAGTTTACAAACCTAAGGAACACTTGGACCTGTTTCAGGTTCTGAGGTTATAACCAGTTCTGAACTACAGTCACCTTTGCTGGATCTATACAGACCTCTCCTCCACCAATTACAAAGCCTAGATAATCTACTGACTCCTACACAAAAGAGTACTTTGCTTCTCAGAGGAACAGTTTATTATCTTAGAGCTGTTGTAGAACTGATTGGATCAGTCAGTAATAGTGCTTGACTGTCTGGGTGAAGATCAGAATGTTATCCAGATACACACTAATGTGCCTCAAGTTAATCAGATCTGTAAGAATGTGATTCATGAATAACTAGAATGTTGTAAGCAAGTTAGTTAGTCTAAAGAACATTACAGTCAGTTTGTACAATCTGTAATTGGTTCAGAACACAGCCTTCCACTCATCTCTGTCTTAGATCCAAATATTATTGTACCCTCATCAAATGTCCAACTTAGTAAAAACCCTAGATGTATGTGTCTTATTAATGAGCTCCTAAATCAGAGGGAGTAGGTACTTGTTTTTGACAGTACCCTTATTAAGACAATGATAATCCTAGACTAGGTAGAGCTTCCTATCTTTCTTTTTGACAAAGAAGAAAGGGGAGGCCATAGAGGACTTTAAGGGTTGGATCCAGCCATTCTGAAGATTTTCCTGAAGGAACTTGTTGAGTGCCTCCTGCTTGTCTCTGTTGAGCAGGTAGACCTTACAATCCTTAGGTTGGAAACCCTTAGTCAATTCAATTGTATAGTCCTAAGGACAGTGTTTAGGAAGCTGGTCAAATTCCTCTTTACTAAAGACTTTAGGGAACTCTCAGACAAAATCTAGCAGGCTGGGTCTATGTGTGTTCTAGAGTAGAGTTGTTCTAAGAGGGTTCTAGACTAGTTCTGTCTCAGACATCCTTTGGATTGGCTCTATTCTGCCTCAACTAGAATATGTATCCCTATATCTATTCTAGTCAAAGAAGAACAACTAGTCACCTTCATCAGAACTGTTAGTAACATTAGAAGTGTCTACATCTACTCAGAACAGTAGTGTAAGGTAGCTGTAAGACTCAGGACACTGATCAAACACAAGTGTCTACTCTAACCAGTCAATAATAGGGTTGTGAGCCTTAAGCCATTCAAATCCAATAAAGATGTCTGTCTTTCTAAGGTTAGTGACTCTAAACTCAATGCTTTCCTCATGATCCTGAATAGTCATTTGTAGTTGGACAAACTCAGTGATCCAACCATTCTGGTTTAGAGTTCTGTCCACATTGTATACCAGGATTGGAAGTGGAACACATTAAGTAGGGAGGTAGTGTTCTTACACAAAGGCCTTATTAATACACAAACTAGTGTATCTACTGTCCACTAGAGCTATTGTTTGGATCTGGGAGGATCCTGAGAAGAGAGCTAAAAGGACAGGGACCTGGAGCTAGTGCCTAGAATGTTCTCAGATGAACTACTGCTTGTTCTGAAGGGAATGTACAGCTTGTACAGCCTCTTTGTCTAAGAGGGTAAGTATATACACTAACATTTCCTCATTAACCTCTCTCTTTTGACCAAGCTGCAGCTTGAATACATTAAGTCTGTACAGAACACCTACACATGTGTCTAGCTCTAACAGTTCTGAGCCCTCAGATCAATCTGCCTGTAATTCACAATCAATCTGTTCTGATAGACATTAGAGAAGCCTGAAAGTGAGGAGTATGCTTTGCCTGTAGAAAGTCAGGGCACTAAATTAAGGACTGCCTACAGAAGTAACAGTACATCTGTCAGGTTA